TGATCTCCTGACCTCATGATTCGCCTGCCTTGGCCTCCCAAAGTGCTGAGGATTACAGGCATGAGCCACTGTGCCCAGCCATTTTGGGTCTTCTTCTAACAGCTTTTACTCTAATAAGCACTTAGCACTCTACCAAGGTCATTATGAATGCTCAGAAAATGGTTAGCTTTAAAAAAAAGAGAAGATCTTTTAAAAAAAAAGAGATGGGGGCCGGCGCGGTGGCTCGAGCCTGTAATCCAGCCAACTTTGGGAGGCGAGATGGGCGGATCACGAGGTCAGGGAGATCCGAGACCATCCTGGCTGGACACGGTGAAACCCCATCCTCTACTAAAAAATAAAAAAAACTAGCCGGGCGAGGTGGCAGGACCTGTAGTCCCAGCTAATCGGGAGGCGAGGCGAGCAGGAGAATGGCGTGAACCCGGGAGGCGGAGCTTGCAGTGGAGCCGAGATACGCCACTGCACTCCAGCCTGGCAGCAGAGCGAGACCTCTTGTCTCAAAAAAAAAAAAAAAAAAGGATGGGAGGATACAGCCACAGAAGAGAAGAGGCATGTCCAGGTTGGACAAGAGACCAGGTTGGAGGTCTGGGATGTAGGAGGAGGGAAGTACTCACTGTGATGGGGGAACAGGCCTCCCGGGCACCTGTTACCACGGGGTGCTTGCTGAAATAGCTGGAGAAGAGCGAGATGTTGATGGTGGCCGACATGAGGATGACCTTGAGGTCAGGCGCGCTTGGGAACAGGCGGCCGGGAGGACACCCAGGAGGGAAATCATTGTGGAGATGCCGCTCATGGACTTCATCCACAATCAGGACCTCGTACTGGGGCAGACTGGGCTCCCGCTGGATTTGTCGCAGAAGCAGCCCACCGTCAGGAACACAATCTTGGTGGCCGCCGAACGCGTGCTCTCAAAGCGGATCTGGTAGCCGACCTGGGTGGGATGAAGAAAGGGTGTGGTCAGGAGAGGACCTGAGCCTGGGGTATCAGCGCCCTGGCCCTGCCCAAATTGAAAATCTAAGCAGGCCACGTGCAGTGGGCTCACGCCTGTAATCCCAGCACTTTGGGAGCCGGAGGGGGCGGATCACCTAAGGTCAGGAGTTCGAGATCAGCCTGACTAACACAGAGAAACCCCGTCTCTACTAAAACTACAAAAAAATTAGCCGAGCGTGGTGGCGGGCGCCTGTAATCCCAGCTACTTGGGAGGCTGAGGCAGGAGAATTGCTTGAACCCAGGAGGCAGAGGCTGCAGTGAGCCAAGATCGCACCATTGCACTCCAGCCTTGGGCAACAGAGTGAAACTGCATCTCAAAAAAAAAAAAAGAAAGAAAAAAGAAAATCTAAGCAATTGCCATGCCTAGCCATCAGACTCTGGAGTCCAACAGCTTGGCTGGAATCCTACCTCTGCCACTTAGTGCCACAGACCTTAGGCAGGCAATGCCATCCCTTATTGTTTTCCCCCTAGGTGCTGCGAGAATGCCATGTGACAATGCACAAGAAATATCTAGCACCATACCTCATGTAATATAATGATTTACTATAATACAAATAACCTTTTCTTGAGTCCCTACTATGTGCCAGGACATTATGTACCACTCTAAGCGCTTTATGTATATCAACCCATTTCATCCTTATGACCACCATGACACAGAAGGACTATTATTGGCTTCCAAGATGGCAGTTTGCATTTCGGTGATTGCCAGGAATCACCTTTGCAGCTGGGCGCAGTGGCTCATGCCTGTGATCCCAACACTTTGGGAGGCCGAGGTGGGTGGATTACCTGAGGTCAGGAGTTGAGACCAGGCCTATAACCAACATGAACATGGCGAAACCCCGTCTCTACTAAAATTACAAAAATTAGCTGGGTAGGGTGGTGGGTGCCTGTAATCCCAGCTACTCAGGAGGCTGAGGCAGGAGAACTGCTCAAACCCGGGAGGGGGAGGTTGCAGTGAGCTGAGATCGTTCCACTGCACTCCAGCCTGGGCGACAGAGCGAGACTCTTGTCTCAAAAAAAAAGTGACAAGCCTTTAGGACGTTTCCCATTGTTTTGCCATTAAAGTGCTACACTGGTAATGCTAGCTCCTTTGTCATATAGACCACGGACAAGCCAATCTGTGGATAAAGTTCTAGAAGAATCATTACTGGGTCCAAGGGTAAGTGCTTCATTTTTTTTTTTGAGATGGAATCTCGCTCTGTGGCCCAGGCTGGAGTGCAATGGTGCAATCTCGGCTCACTGCAAGCTCCGCCTCCCGGGTTTACGCCATTCTCCTGCCTCAGCCTCCCAAGTAGCTAGGATTACAGGCACATGCCACCATGCCCAGCTAATTTTTGTATTTTTAGTAGAGATAGGATTTCACCACATTGGCCACGATGGTCTCGAGCTCTTGACCTCATGATCTTTCTGCCTCAGCCTCCCAAAGTGCTGGGATTATAGGCACGAGCCACCATGCCCGGCCCATTCTTTCTTTTTTTATGGCTGCTTAGAAGGCAAATTGATGGGCATTTGGAACCAGAAATCACAAGAGACAATGAAGTTCTTCCTGTAAGTCTTGACTACACAGACAAGGATAATTCACTAAGACAGTGTTTCTCAATTAGGGGTGGTTTTGCACCCCAGGGAACATGTGGCAATATCTGGAGACATTATTAATAGTCACAACCACAGGAGAAGACTACTAGCATCTAGTGGGTAGGGGCCAGGGATGTTGCTAAATATCCTATGATCCACAGGACAGCCCCCACAACAAGGAATTATCCTTGATTGAAATGTCAATCTTGCTGACTTTGAGAAATCCTGCCCAGTGAGATGGTAGACTAATGGGAAAGGAGGAGCCTGGATCCCTGAATGACCACCTGGAACATTTTTTTTTTTTTTTTTTTTTTGGGCAGGGGCTCCCTGTTTTTTTTTTTAAACCTGGGTGCTAGCTACGTAGATGTATTTAACTGGGGAAAACTAATTGAGCTATATATTTACAATGCATGCATTCTCTTGTGTTTAGAGTAGCTTCAACAAGAAAAAAATTCTAGGTGATGGAACCAGGATGAAAACCCTAGAAATCAGGTTGGTTGGATGACCAGGAGAGGACCTGAGCCTGAGCCAGGTTGGCTGGCTGATTTCCAGGCATAGCTGGCTCACACCTGTAATCCTAGCTCTTTGGGAGGCCAAGACGGGAGGATTGCTTGATCTCAGGCAGACAACATAGCAACACCTCATCTCTACTAAAAAAAAAAAACCAAAACCCTAGAAAACATTTCTCAGGAAGCAGCCTCATTCTTTTTTTTTTTTTGACGACAGGGTCTCGCTCTCTGTTTTCATCTGCTCACTTCACCCCAGCTGGAGTACCACGCTGGGCCATCGACTCTCGGCTACCTGCAGCCCTCCACCCTCCAGGTTCAGCATTCCTCCCACCTCGCTCCTAGATACTCGGGAGAACAGGGGTGCACCCACTGGAGCTACCTTTCGCATCTTTTTATAGAGACAAGGTTCTTACCAATGTTGGCCAGGCTGGTTCCTAGCAACTCCTGACCCTCGGTGATCCACCTGCCTCCAGCCTCCCCAAAGAGCTGGGTTATACATGACACACCACGCTGGGCACTCTCTTCCTCTCCTCTCTCGTCTTTTTTTTTTTTGAATGGTTCCTTCTCTCCCTTCTCCGGTACAGTGCAGTGCGCCATGGTCTCAGCCTACTGCAACCCCTCTGCCCTCAGCCCCAAGCACATTCTCTCGCCCTCAGCCTCCCAAGTAGCTAGGATTACAGCGCAAGTGCCACCATGCCCACGCTAACTTTTTGTATCTTTTTAGTAGACATAGAGCTTTCACCCAACAACTTCGGCCAGATTGGTCCTCGAGCCTCTTGACCTCATGTCCTCTTCTGGCTCAACCTCCCAAAGTGCCTGGATTTATAGG